GTGTTAAATGATTAGAATGAGGCTAAGATGGAAACCTGCTGTTGCTGTCACACACACATGGGTATGTTTCATTATACAGCTTCACAGCAATACAACTTTCTTTCAAAATAAAAGACTGCATCAGCGGCAGAAACAAAAGTCTTCAATCAGTATGAAAAACTATTAATTAATTCCTTTAATTAAGGAAAAAGCCCATCACAATAACTGAGAGCTATTCTAACACTAGTGACCAGTTTAATCTGTCTGTCATAACTGATTCATTCTGTCTTGTCCCATCACCCTCTCTACAGGGTCTAAACAGTCTTGGGACCTCCGTAGGGGCTTGGAGAAACTCCTGTACTTTCCTGCATTTTCAACATAAGTTAATATCAATAAGATTTATCTATTCCTTATTTGGCAAGGGTCCCCCTGGAATCATATCCAGCACCCCTGGGTGTCCCTGGACCCCTACAGTGAGCAGCGCGGCTGTGGAAGACTCCATAACAAGCTACATCAACGTCAGTCCACATTGTCAGCCAGTGTGCTTATGAATTATTGACAACCAGATAGCGCCAAGGAGTTCATGTGATCCGCTGCCCTCTGCGTCACCTGGCTACTACTCTATTCCACCTCCTCACTTACTACCCTGCATGAAGTAACAGTAACACACCACAGGCTACGACATGATCACCAGCCCCTTTTCACTCACCAAAACTATGCACCATTAGAAATGACAGCAGGTAGAATATAAGCAGTAGGGGATTAGTGATTGGCTTAGATTTCAAAGTATTGCTGCAAAGTGGATTAAGTGGGAGAAGCTATAGTGAACACCAGTAACCCTTTAATCCACTATGTGAAGGCAGGAAGCCAGAGAGAGAGAAAGAGGAGGCACTTCCTGTCCGGGAAACCAGATTAGTCAGAAGCAGAGGAATGCTGTCCGGCTGCTTTAACGCGCCTCTACACAGATAACACATCTTCACTTTCTTTCATTCACAGCTGCAAACTGGTGCTGCAGCTGTTGATTCTGCATAAAACCATTTATTCAAGATAGAAGAACATTTCAATAGAATTAATTTTAATAAAGAGATCAAAATGTCACTTTTTCAAACCATGCACAAAGGTTAAATTCAGTATAGGTACGTCCAGATTTACTGTGCACTTCTGCCCTGGCTGTCACTGATTTCTTGATACAGCCATCAAGGCCAAATTAATCAAATCATCACTGCAAATATAATGCAAACGTATTAGTTTTGCTTTATGTCAACTGGTCTTGTTTTACCCAAGTCCCAGTTTGTGCCTCTCATGTAGTAACATCACATTCAATGTTTGTATGACATGAACTAATTATAATTAATTTGTTAGGGTCTACGCTTTTTATATTTTCATATGAAAAGAGTGAGTTTTTAGTTTTTGTATGTCAAACAAAATGAGCAAGGAGATACGTCAGTTCTGACCTGGATAGGAAACAAGAGATGCAGCTTGGGAAACAGGTTAAAAATAATCAAGCAGTGGAGAGATGTTTTTCTTTCAGATGATTGGAAGTCTTTGATGATTCTGGAAATAACTTCAGAACAACAGTAAATGTTCTTAAATGACCTTCTTTTTCATAAAAATGGATGTTTAGTGCTGTGATGCAGGTGTGATGAAAGTACATGACAGGCACAAACTGACACTAATTTTACCCCTGACATTTTGTTAACACGCATGTGGGCAACCACCACGAAACCAGCACCCCCTAATTTCTGCCTCACTTCTTTTAAATCAGCCAGTATATATGTCTGCATAGTGAATTTGTCACCATCAAATAGGTATGCAATACTAAACCAGTAAAAGTTAAGATGTTCACTTAGTCCCTTCGTAAGTAATAAGAAAATAAAGAGCAAAATCTGGAGAGGAGAGGAGAAGTTAAAATCAAGTGGGAATAACAAAAAAATTAAAGAGAAAAGAAACTGTATCCAAAGGATTCGAGAAGCTAAATCTTCTAAAATGGAATAATTCTAAAAACCAAAATACAGTCGAGATGAAAAAACAAAAACACCAATTTCCTTTGACTGAACATATCAATAAGCACAATACAAAAAAGGGCAGCAACCGCCATAAATGGTACTTTTAAAATTGTCAGAGCCTGAGAGGAGAACGAGGGAAGGGAAGCAAGTCAGCAGAGTGAATACAGTACAAGTACACTAGGTCTCGGTGCCCCAACCCGTCACTGTGATTACATTTTGTTCTCATTCAGCCTGGACATGAGTGACAGCCACAAAGATTACAACTCTACATGTTACGCTTTAAAAGAGAGCTATAGGCTTATATAACATCTTCTGCCTTTTACTTGATCGGAGATGGCAGCAACTAGAGAGACTGTCTTTAAAGACCAAATAACCCTGCAACAGTACGACTGGTATCAAACATGACCTGAGCTAAACTTAATTAGAGTAACATCTTCAACATGGTTACAAGTAATTATGGCAATTAACCCCTCTCTGACAACACTGACAGCACCGTTTGTTTTACTGAGGTAAAATATTATTTTATCTTGATTGACTAATAGATCAATGGACTCAGTGTTTCAACTCCATAAAAGTCACTGTCTTTAATTACATATATGCAATGAAAATTAGCTTTTATTTTGGAAAAAAAGTAAGAATTAAATATTGTCTACATTATTTTTATTCAAATCAAAATTTTCTTGATGGTAAAGATGCTAATCTAGATATTAAACTCAAGATTAGATCTACGCAATATAACTGCAGTGTGTGTCTGACACAGGTTTATTAGACATAAATGAACTTTCAGAGCTTCAGGTATTTTCACACAGTCAGCTTGATTCAATTCTGTTAATTGTTCAGTTATTATGCAACTACTTTGATATTTATCGGGCCATAAAATCTGTTTGTGTTTGAATCACACCCGTTATCTGTTCTTGAGTTTACAAATCTCAACATGCCCAAAGCTTCATGACTCTCTGCCCACGCAGCGGACTGGTTCCTAGATAATAGCTGCTACTAAAAAAAAAAGCATTAGAAAGCTTCTACGGTACGAGAAACAGTTAATGTTATTATCTTGGAAATTAGGGATGTGCTGGTTGAAAATCAAACAAAATTATTTAATTATTCTTCTTTAATGACAATCCCTTCCTTTTAGCACTGTCTAGTTTCTTATTACATAGACATGGATGTAATAAAGGGTGCGCTGCACATAGGAACATGTAAAATTGTAATGAAAACTGACGGACAGTGATGCTGTTTTAATTGACCTCCTCTGTCACATGCTTAGATGTGGGAAGCATATTTCCTTTCCTTAACGGTGACTAGAAATCACTGACATTTCACATGATCATGCGAGTTTTTTTAGAGCGCAGCAAATTGATATATTAGGCTTTTAAATAAAGTCTGAATTAATGATTAGTTTCATTTTACAGACATGGTCAGAAGGAGAATCCTTCATCATACCACACAGCTCAGAAAAAAAGCCCGGTACTGACAAACAGATAAATGTTCCGAGCCCTAATCTCAAGTATTCAGCAGTCTCTTTGCATCCGGGTTTCTGCAACGGCAATACAATCAATTTAACCCTAACCCATTTGTCTAAAGCAGTTATCCAGATCAATTACAGCAGCAGACCTCATCAGCATCCCACATCCTACCAGTCACAGCCTTGTCTCTGCACGCTCCTTACTTTAAGGCTCCATTTCACCCTCCACACAGCAGGGATTTTATTTAATCAGCCATTTGCAACAGTTGGGAGGCCATGTCTAAGCCTCCACTGAGCATGGAGCCTGGGTATAAACCTCACTATCTCTCATGTGAGCAGGGCTTGCTCTGTCTGGATTATTGTCAAACACATTACTGTGGAGACTAATGCAACCCACAGCCATATAGGCCGGCTGCTCCACTGCTGCCCATCGATTTGACTAGCAGGGAGAAAACAACTGGATTACATAATTCATGTGACTGACTGTTCCATTTGTAATCATGTTCAACTGGAGGAGGCAGCATAATAAATGAGAGCGAGCGGCACAGGAGATGTACATTGGAAATGAATCAGCTAAGCATTTCTACATGGGATAAAAACATCCATCAAATCATCTTATCTGATGCAAAACATGTAAGAACTGGAAACCAGGAAGTGCATTGATTTCACCTTTTTTGTGACACTCATGACGATCTTTCACCAAAGAAAAAGAAAAGATTCCATTGCAAGATTATGATTTGTCAACATTTTAAGATGAATGATCATTTCTGTCTGCATACATCTCTTCGCATGTTCTGTCATGAATGCATATAGCCTCCAGAACACTGCATTCCACCTGGTAATAACATTAACTGACTCCGCCTTTCACTTATTAAAGTTCCAATGCAGTTTGTTGACTGAAGGTGAAGGCTGGTGTGTTAGATCCGTATGAGCTACAACACAAATAATATCTTCGATGCCAAATAATAATTTATGCGTGCAAAATCTCATTCAAAAATACATCCTTAGCCATCAACAAATACAGAACTTCTCTCAAGACCATGTCCCAGTATCTAAGTCACTACTTAATTCAACAAATCCTTCACCAAACAGCACTTGCATTAAGAAAATTACTTTTTAAATAGTTTCACAACCCATCAGTGTTAAGACTGAAAATGAACAAATGAATGATGGGCAATTCACTAAAAAGTAGAAATATGGAAAATATATTTATATATTTGGACACGGTTTTGAGTCTTTTACTGATTTATTGCAACTTCAAACTGTGTAAGGAAACAGTACAATTAACTTCCTATAAAAAAAAAAAGAGTCACGGTTTACTTCCCCAATCGTTTTCCTGTGAGTTTCTTTTCACTCCCTTTTGTGAGTGAAACTTAATCCGGATGAGTAGCCGCTTCGGCGGAATTTTAAACCAGCAGTGATAAAAGCTCCACTCGTTTTCTGTTTATTGTCGAAAACTGTAAAGCGCTTTGGTTGGCAGGGTACAAGCAGCCGGTGTAAGCAAAATAAAGCGAGCACTTGAGAGGACACGAGAGACTGTAACAACTTACATATCTGCTGATGAGGGTCCGAAGAGTGCTGAAATCCATCCCCATCCTGTCTTCCTCTCCGGACTCCTCTTCTTACTGAGTCGTTTTATCTGACGGTTACTTCACTGTAGGCGCTAGCTTCTTTTTAAATCTCCTCCTCTGTCCATGACTTTCTGTCTTCTCGTCTTCCTGGATTAAAAAAGGGTTTGGTCCGACAATGCTGCTCCAGAGAAATGTAAACAATGTACTCACCTATAAGAGACTTTACAACAGGCTTTTATAGTAAGAAGGAGGAGTGGTTTTCTGTCTGTGCGGCTCTTACCACAGTTTTAGGACAGTTCCTGCAGGTACAGACAAGTGCGCGGCTCCTCCTCAACACTGGGATGAAACTAATTTCTAGTCTCTCCGCCTCTCTCGAGCTCCCTCTCTCCCCTTGCGCGTGTACCAGTAAGCTTCTTCTCTCGCGCCGCGGCCAAAGGAGCTTTACTTTCAACAAAGCTACGTCACGGGGAGCCAGGTGGTGGTGACTGGAGGTGAACGCATGCGCACTGTGGTGCTCTTCTGGATTGTAATTGATTGTATGCTTCAGTTAATTAGGAGAGTGATTTGTTCGTTTGGATGGGGGGCTGTGTACCAAAGACAAATTACCAAAGACAAATGAACAGTAACTTTAATGAAACTGAACAACTGCAATAAGTCGACAGTGCATAAAGTTTCTATTACATATTTATGTGTGTGTGTGTGTGTGTGTGTGTGTGTGTGTGTGTGTGTGTGTGTGTGTGTGTGTATGTGTGTGTGTGTGTGTGTGTGTGTGTGTGTGCCAACCACACGCCAACCTACCTGCGAGGTAAGAGGTTCAGAAAACATTATCTTTCACCATGGTCAGGATGCAGGATGAAAGAATGGCCATGAAAGGGTTTATTCTCAAATAACCTAATTATCTTAAACATGGAAGGGAAAACACTCAAGGGCTACTGGTTCAGAAACTACCGCCCCAATGTGAAGGTGAAAGAAAGTGAATGAGTGGAGTGACACCCTTAAATAATCTTCTAGTGCCCAGGTGAAGATTGAAGAAAGGAAGAGGAAAATGAAATAAAATAGGGATCTATACTACACTACTGACAGTACCAACCAACATTTTTAATTTCTGACAGAATTTGTCAGAAACACATGACAAACTTATTTGACATTATACATCATTATCTGCTACTATTTTAAAAAGAAATGCAAACTAAAAAGTAATACAACCATCCACTTTTTCCTTAGAACAGCAAATTAGTTGAGTTTAAATAATTTTGTTCATCTAGTAGATATTATATAATTTTTCGCAGCAAAAACTTAACGTAATGAATATATATTGAATATTAAGTGATCAATATCTACAAATTAAGGGTTAGGGGAGGTCAGATTATGGGTCAGAACCACGATCCGTGGTCCTATGTTTCCGGAGGGAAATGTTTTCATTCATTTGTCCAACGTCTGTTTCCTGGAGACGCTTTTCGGCGGGTTCTGTTGAAACACAAGAGTCAAAGTCACTACAATAACAATCAACATATCCGGTTGTAGTCTTCACAATAAAAGCCTGACTGAAGCGAGGTGAACATTTTTTCTTTAAAATAGTATTTCAAGTAATGCACTGAAAAAGAATTTAAATTTAAAGTTTTTATCTTGGACTTTCACCATGTACAATACATCATGTAATAATAGTCATTCAGGTCTCTTTGTTTTTAAACCAGTTACATCTTTTTTTAATTGACATATTCTTTGTATCGTGCTTTTTGGAATAATTTTAACATTTGTATATATTTTAAGTTTGTTATACTTTTACTTAGGCACTATTGCATTATAGCTGGGTACATTATTATTTACTTTTTCAGCCCTGCTAAGGAACCACACCAAGGCTGAATTCAGACCAGAGGTGCTGTTAAGGCCAGAATAGACCAAATATGTGATAAACATGGAACAGTTCTTTGAACAGGTATATATGTTTCTGTTCACCCCCATTAAAATGACATAATGAAGTTGAACTGAACTGATGTTTTGCAGTAGGTCCATGTGAGGAAAAACCAAGGTAAATATTCAGGGATGTAGAATAGTCATTTTTGCATACCTTTTGTGGGACAAATCAATAGTATTGCCATCAAAAGTATAAAGCTGGTTCTGAGAGGCATTAAAGTCCAATTCCTGAGTAGTATATTTTTCCCTTTTCCAACCTTATTTGAACTACACTATTAATGGGCTACATAGTAAAATCAACTTTTTAAATGAGTTTTTTTCTGAAATAATGTATCTTTTACCGTTAATTTAAATTCCTTGCACTTTACTATTAATTAACTTATATTTAGTTAGTCTTATGTGGGAGTGCTTCATTTTATCCTGATATTTTATCCCCATTCATTCAACCTTCCTGATTCTCATGCCAAAAGAGTGAGAAATTCGATGCTTTTACTTTGAAGGAAACATGGCGTCAGCTGCGGTGATATTCTTCCTGCTTCGTGGTAGCTTGACTCAACTTGTCAAAATGGCGTTGCTTGTAGTGGGAGACTGGAGCTAGTTCATATTATTCAGTGGCATTTATTCCTTTACTGGACAACACACGAATCGTAAGCCACAGATAGTATGGCGACCCTGGATCAGAAATCACCTAACGTGCTTCTCCAGAGCCTCTGCTGCAGAATCACGGGGAAAAGCGAAGGTACATCAGTTAACGTTAGCCTGCTCCGCGCTAGTCCAGATACGTGCACTACTCTTGTATGAAGCTAACCTTATTCAAAAATTCGGCACTTTGTCGTTGCTCTTCACAGTGCTAATAATACATATTTTACCTATAAGGTAAATATGTAGACTTGGTCTTTATCGTCTACTGACAAATTCGGCGTATAATTCCCACACAACACAGTTATAAATGTATTAATAATTAAAGTTTTTACACTCCTGGCGCTAGCTTAAACTGATATGTTTTGCGAGGGGATGCTGTAGAAAACGGCTGAAGTTTTACTGAAATTAGCGCTGCTTGGTCTGTTGAACTTATGCCGAACTGAAGAGAGCATATTTTCAATTTCTAAACGACCTTGCTATGAACTAGCACACATCAGACTGATTGAAAAAATAGAGCATATGTTTGTTTTCACTTAGCTGTGTTGGAATACGGCACGTAAGCGGGGCTAGGTCCGCGTAGCTGTCAGCCAAAGGGTTTGGCTACGAGCACATCCCGCTTAACAGCTTCCTGGTACTCCCAGCTGTTACTGTAACACAATATTAGCTTTGGTTTGATCAGCAGGTTAGCTGTTCACTCCGGCTATCTATAAGCTTGCTAGCCAGCTAGCGCGCACACTGACTAATACACTGTTTGCATGGTTATCGGATGCACTTGTGTCCTGTTAGCTGCAGGCCCCTGCTGGATGCAGGCATCTCAGAGGAAGGTTAGCATGTCTGATCAGAGATAGCGGCGAAAATATCAGTAAAATCTTGTGTTTTTCACTCACTTTGACGTGATTGCAGCTTTAACTCCATCATCAGACAACAAAGCCTTAGAGCTTGGCAGTGTTGACAGGAATAGAAGCTGTAATTTTGTAATCCTAAACCAGAGTGTTAGCCAAACTTATTTCCTCCACCATTCATAACCACTCTTCAAAGCAATAGTCCATTCACATCAGTAACGTAGTAAGTTTAAAGATTTATACTGTGCATTTCCAACTGTTTGAAATGGGAAAAATGTGGACTAACAGCAGAAAAACTCATAACTGATGATTATTTCTACAGGACTGCTATGAACTTTAGTCATTAATAGTTATTTATTTCTCCAGCTGAAGTTGCCCACCAGTTCCAGTATGCAGTGCGAGTCATTGGCAGTAACTACGCCCCCACAATCGAACGGGATGAGTTCCTGGTGTCAGAGAAGATCAAGAAGGAATGTGAGTGACATTTAGACAAACACAATCAATCTGTTGGTCACTGAACTGCTGTAACAGAGACGAGGAACTCATTATCCATCATTAACCTACAATAAATTACTCTGTTTTGCCTTTGTGGTATTCTACTATATCAAAACTAAATCTGTGCGCCTCTGCTGCTGCCAAGTGGTTTTGTGGTGTCCTCCCTTGGTTACCTTTTATGTTGGAGCCAATCCACAAAAAAGTCAAAAATCTTTATTGCACCATAATAGCAAACCTCAGTGGACTTTCATAGTAGCCAAGGTGGCACCATTAGTAGGAAAACATTGATCCAAGATAAAACAAAAATAGCTCAGCACTTACTGTACAGAGGACGTTATATTTATCCCAGGTTTTAAGGTGGACATTTAAAGTGTTTTTTAAGACCACAGAGATGCAGTAAAAATGATAATCCAGGGGAAAGGGACACCTGCTGATTGGATTTAGATATTGATTCCTGATGTGACTTAATCAGATTTAGTCAAGTTGAACTTAAATCATATGAAAGAATGTAATCCAGTAACACCTACAAAAACAGCCATCGAAATACCCTTTGTTATGCAACTCTTGCTCCCAACTGTGATGTGTCATACCAGAGCTGGTAGTTAGATGTTAATACAGATGATAAGTTTGGTTTTTGTTCTGTTAACAGTTAGTTTTCTGTCATGCAGCAACACGTAGACCTGATATTGTTCAGGTCTGAAAAGCTTTTAAAATGTGTCATTTTGATGAAGGTCTCTTAAATCTTTTTTTATTCACAGTGTAATGACAGGTTTCCCTGTGCTGCAGAACAGAGCTAGATGTGCAGTCAGGATCCTGTTGGCTGTTCATGTTCCTCAGCAACTTTTGTTGTGCTCTGCAGTTTAAAATATATTTCATCATCCATGTTCATTTTCCTAATAGGCTGTGTGTTGGTTATAAATCAGCCAGTGACAAACCTGCAGGGTTAGGTAGAGTTAGTGCTGTAGGAGACTTTGAGTCAAACATCCCAGCTGACGGTGTGTCTTGATGCTGTTGCAGTGCTGAAGCAGAGGAGAGAAGCAGACGCTGCTCTGTTCTCTGAGCTGCACAGAAAACTTCAGACACAGGTTAGTATTTGTGTTTTGTTTTTGTTTTGTTTTTTTGTTCTCATGAACACAGAAAACCTTTCTGAAGCATCATGGGAAAATTCCCCCGCTTAACTCCAGGAATCTGATCAAAGTGTCTCATTTAAATCAGTATAGACTATGACTCTCACGTGTTCAATTTATCATTTTATTTTTACATGAATGATAAATGACATTATTTATTGATGGAGGATATTTTTATGTTGTGCACCCAGCACATTATGATGATTTTTAGCTAATGGGATGTTGTGTTTGTCAGGCTGTTCTGAAGCATCGCTGGTCTGTTCTCTACCTGCTGCTCAGCCTATCTGAAGACCCTCGGAAACCATCCAGCAGGGTGAGGGACACTCACACTCACACTCACACTCATAAAAGTATGAGGGTCTGATACTGACCTGAGACCCTCACCTCCTCACTGTCTCCCTGTCCTTCCCAGGTTGGCAACTATGGGGCTCTGTTTGCCCAGGCCCTCCCCAGGGACGCCCACTCCACCCCGTTCTACTGCACCCGGCCTCAGAGCCTGGCCCTGGGCTACGGGGAGAGAAGCGGCGGGCTGTCGGCCAGTGTGGGGACCAGCGGCATCTCCAGTCTGGGGGTGTACACGCTGAATGGACCCACGCCGACGCCACAGTCACTGCTGGCAGGGTGCGCATTTATCTCTGTACTTCCTCCACACACAACCACACTGGTCGAAGAAAGAGTTTTATCTTCTATCAACATTGCTGCTCTGCAGTCAGTTTTATTGCATACACTTTATTCAGCTCCAGATGCACTTAAACAAACTGTGAACCTGAAACCAACATAATGCTTTAAATGATACCTATACCCGCTCTATATACATATAGAGGTGGTCAAAATAATGTCTGTATTGTTTTTTTTTTTATGACAAAACAGCCCTATAGTCATTATAAAATATGAAGTCATTACACCTTCATCCCTGAATCACACCTTTCAGCTGTGTTTAATCAGAGTCACCTGAAAGGCTGTGGAGAGAACGGGGTTACTTACTTATCTGATGCTCTTCTTGTAAGCATCAATTATCACCAACAAATGAACCTTCCTCTCAGCCTGACCTCGTTTAAATCTCTCTTATGAGGCATCAGAAGGCCATTTAATTCCATTTATCCTCGTTAATAATGCAGGAGGCCTACAGTTACATAATGGCCATTGAGCTGTCTGAGCTTACCTTTTAATCGTGAAAGGGCAACTCCTGCCTCCAAACTTAGAACAAAGAAGGTCTCAGGGCTTTGAATTGTAATTTTACACTATAGAAACTACAGTATCTGTGCTTTAATTATGCAAAGACGGGCTTTGTTGTTCTGAGTGTATCATCCAGCATGCGGGTTATGTGGGCCAAGGTGTTGGTTTTGTTTGTTGAAGTCACCTTTTAATATAAAGAGGTTATGCCACACCCTTAAAGATATTAAATGGTGCCTCTTTTTGTGTGTGTGTTTGTGTGTTTTAGTCAGCCCCCTCAGTCTGCAGGCGGCGGTCAGCCTCTGGGCTCTCGACTGGCCTGGGCTCTTCCTGTGAGCTCCTCCCCTTCCTCCGCTCTGGCCCCGCCCAGTGCCCGGCTGCCCCTCGGACCTCCAGCTCTGTCTACCAGAGTGGTCCGTCCTCGCCGAGACGGCGACACAGGTGGTGAGTGGCATGTGTGAACCCGGAATGACGTTAATGCCTGTAAGCAGCGCCGGTTACAGGCTGACCAGAACATCGTTAATGTGTTTTAATTGTCTGGAGGGTCGTTCAGGTCGGAAAGGGTCCATCATGTTAACACAGATACTATTCTTAAAGATTTTTTTTGTCTTACCTGTTAGCTAGAAATCATGTCCCTAAACAATATCCATCATCGTTCATTTCATAGTTTCAAGAAAGTGTTATTTTGGTTGTTTCATTTTGTTCTTATTCAAATTTTTCCGCAAATCTTATTTTATTAAGAAATTCAAATTGTATTACAACCCAAACTTTCACTGTGACTTGAAAGTTTTTATTCCAAGCTGAGAGCACATAATGTATTTTTTAATGTTCGTCCTCTCGTCCTCTGCTGGTGTAGGGGAGGTGAGCGAGGCGGCGCTGGTGCGAGACATCCTCTATGTCTTCCAGGGAATCGATGGCAAGTTCATCAAGATGAGCGCCCAGGAGAACTGCTACAAAATAGACAGCAAGGTACCTGAACCTGCGTCCAGTCTTGTAAAGCTTTTAATGGACTAATCAGTTCAGCGGATCGCACACATTATCCAGAGTAACCTAAGAGTACAGTTCAGGTCATCATCATCATCATCCCAGAACAACTGCTACAATACAGACAGGGTGAACGGAGGGAAACGTGTGGCTGCTGCAGGAAGCATTAGACTGATTTCCCGAAGCTTCACACGTGAATGATGCTACAAGCTAACGCTGTCTGACTCAGATCTGTTGTACTGTTAAACTGTGACTGCCACATTAATACTAGTTGTTCACTGTCTGACTTTCTGATTAAGCGTCCTCATATATTCAGAGCAGATGATACGAAATCAAGACTGTTGTTGTTGATTGGACTTTAAAAGAAAGATTCAACAGATCAATATGGAGCTCTTTGGCTCTGAGCCGCATCGACCTCCCTCTGCTCTCTTTTCGCTCCTCTCTCCTGTCAATTTTCTTTTACTCCCCTCTCTCATATCATCGATAGGAAGGCCTGAGACGTAACCTGTCCCATATTCTCTCAGTGGTGCTAAACATAGACTTGTGGTCAAGCCGGGAGCCACTGAGACCAGAGATAAATGACTCAAGGATGGAGATACTTTGGACTCTTCTTCTCCCACTTAACCTCTCTGTAAAGAGGTTTTGTTAAACAGATGAAAATTTAATGCATCATTAAATGTGAACTCTTGCCCAGCTGGAAAACATATCCCTTTCTGTGAGGAGGCCATGCCAGTTCTAGTTATAATTTATTTTGTGAATTATGATAATCTCCAGGACGTAACTCCATCAGGGCTTTTGTACCAATGATTATGTTACCAGAACAACAACGGCACAAGCTGCACAGCAGATCAACATCTTTGCTGCAGTATGTCCATGCAGGATGTTCCTCATTGCTCCTTTTTCAATTGAATAATTATAATCAGTGTCATAACTCTAAAGTACTGTCACTCATCATAAATATCATACAAATATTATACTCAGAATGGGCCAATATTAACAGACTCAGATCAGGATCAGGGCTGTCATTATCCTGTTGTTGACACATAAGATAATCATGTGCATACGGGTCATTGCAATTCATACAAGTGCAGTGCCTTGTGTTGTGTACGTGTTGTGATGTGTGCTGTGCCTCACCAGGTGGTGCTGTGCAAGTCCCTGAGGGACACCAGCAGCAGACTGGCCGAGCTGGGCTGGCTCCACAACAAAGTCAGGAAGTACACCGACGCCAGGAGCCTCGACCGCGCCTTCGGGCTGGTTGGACAGGTGTGTCTGCGCTCGCCATGTGTTTTAATTATCCTCGCTGGATATGCTCTTTATTTATTTATTTATTTTAAGCTCATCCTCCACTAACTCATATCTTTCCATCTATGTCTGTCCCCTCTGCGTCCTCAGAGCTTCTGTGCCTCGCTCCACCAGGAGCTGAAGGAGTACTACAGGCTGCTGTCTGTCCTCCACTCCCAGGTACTCACAGAGACGGATGATGTTCAGAAGCTCATCTAATAGAAAAGATGGTGGATAATGAAATGGCTGAAATTGACCTGTGTGTGTGTGTTGTAGTTGCAGGTAGAGGACGACCATGGCGTGACCGTGTGCACAGAGAGCAGCCTGACTCTCAGGAGGCTGCTGGTTTGGATGTACGACCCCAAAGTCCGGCTCAAAACGTTAGCCGCCCTTGTCGACTTCTGCCAAGGTAGGTTGGATGCGTTGGATGGCGGTGGGTTTAACACATGATGTGAATAGGAATAGGAGTGCGTGTTTTAATGTGTTTGTGTGGTTGTGTTCAGGTCGAAAGGGGGGCGAGCTGGCCTCAGCTGTCCACGCTTATGGGAAAACAGGAGACCCACAGATGAGAGCGCTGGTTCAACACATCCTCAGCCTGGTGTCGCACCCCATCCTCAACTTCCTCTACAGGTGGATCTATGACGGAGAGCTGGAAGACACCTACCACGAGGTACACACCTCCTTCTCATCTTTGCAGTGCATGTGTGTTTTTGAAAAATCTCCAGACTAAAAACTGTGGTTATAATCATCCTAAATGTAGCGCAGTGTGGGTGAAGCTCCTGGGTTTTTGTAGAGAAGCCATCAGGAATTTACTGCTCGGTTCTGGAAATTGTTCTGTTTAACTCCTCTGACGTTTGACCCCAGTGAGAGAGAAGATAAGTGAGAGGAGGAGGAGGAGAGAGAGAAATAAAGAGAGAGAGGTGAGGCAGGACAGCTTCTCAAATGAGAACTGATGAGAGGAGTGTAATGGAGAACCTGGTGATGGATGTTTCTCCTTTACTTCTCCCCACTCACTCTTTCCTTTTCTCTCTCACTCAGTATTTATGTGTCCAGCATTTACCATTAGTTATCACTGGACTCTGCTCTTAAGTGCTGTGTTTAAGAAAACAGACAAAGTTATTGCACCTTTCAGGAGGGAAATGACCAAGTAAATCACACCTGCACAGTCTGTAAAACAGATGCAATAAACAGCACCTCTACATATGGTCAGGATGATATATGATTATGTGCAAAATTACAGGGTGTTGTCTAAAGTGAAGCTTCCAAGCGAATTACAAACATTACATGCGCCACATTGTTTTCTTCCTCGACTCTTATTCCAGCTAAAAGGCTGTAGGAAAGTGTTCTACAATAAATAAATCTGTAATTAATTAAAGTGTGACATATGTGTGTCTACACCTGATCTGTTGTACATCACACTGACCCCAGCTGGAAAAAAACCTTCCACTGTTTATTGAACTGTGTGTCATTGTGTGTGTGTGTGTGTGTGTGTGTGTGTGTGTGTGTGTGTGTGTGTGTGTGTGTGTGTGTGTGTGTGTGTGTGTGTGTGTGTGTGTGTGTGTGTGTGTGTGTGTGTGTGTAGTTCTTTGTAGCATCAGATCCCAACGTGAAGACCGATCGTCTGTGGCATGATAAGTACTCCCTCAGGAAGTCTATGATCCCCTCCTTCATCACCATGGACCAGGCCCGCAAGGTATACCCACACACACACACACAGACTATCACACAGAGTTATTGGCTATACACATCTAGGTAAGCCAGAGTTTCACCCTCAGCTCACTCTCATCTCGCCCTCTCCAGGTTCTGCTGATCGGTAAATCCATTAACTTCCTGCATCAGGTGTGTCACGACAGAACGCCGCCGGGCAAAATCACATCAGCATCCAAGTCTGCAGACACGCCTAAAGATGGTAAGAGTCTCAGCTGCTGTTTGGCAACACTTAACGTCTGGACTTGCTTTCTGGGAATCATTCAGATTTAAAGAGTTTTTTGCAACACTTCATAATGGGACATTATCTGTAGAAAATATCAGCTTAAGTTCATATGACATCAAGGTGAAGCAATAACACACAAAATGCTAATGTTGAAACTGGAATGGTATTTCTGGCTTTATTTCCACTCTTTATTGTTGTGTTTGCTTTTTCCACTGTTATTATTGAATCAAGCCTAATGATATTGACCAATAAGAAGCCCCTGTTTTTATTTCGTCCTCGTCGTATTGATATTGTTACATGGACAGTCAGAGATCGATGCTCTTACCGTTGGCCGGCCTTGTCCTCCTCTCCTTCTGACGGTGAAGTGGAAAGAAGTATACTTAGCCATAATCTATTGATTCGGTCTGTAGGACTTCATCGGACCAGTCTGATGTGCAGCTTTTACTGTATCTGTTGAAGGACATCACGCTCACTTCTTGGTTGGAACAGGGGGAGGATGTTTGTGTGGTTGACCCAGAGTCCGGTCAAACGTTTACCACATTCTTACCTTGACTTACAGTTTCTCCATTTTTTTGATCACCCATGCTTAACTAAGAAATACATACATTTTGTTGTCTAGTTTTTGAACTAATAAAAAAGGGGGAAACAGACAAATACATCCTTGCATAGCAGTTAATGTAATAATGGATAAAAACCCCCTGTAAAAGCCAGTAATCACAACCGTCCATCTCTTGTCTCCACGCTCTCGTAGCTGCAGAGCTGCTGTCAGACCTGGAGGGGGCCTTTCAGGAGAAGATTGATGCTGCCTATTTCGACACCAGCAAATACCTGCTGGACGTTCTCAACTGCAACTACCTGCTGCTGGAACACCTGCAGGCCATGAGGAGATACCTGCTGCTGGGCCAGGGAGACTTCATCAGGCACCTCATGGACCTGCTCAAGTTAGCAACAATATACTATAGCTTCAGTACTACTGCTACTTTGTGCATGTAAAGTGTAGATGTAGCATCAGAATGCAGGTCAGAACATCAGCCTGCGAGTCTCATTTTACCATATCCTAATTATTTTGTCCCAGACCAGAGTTGGTGCGTCCTGCCACCACTTTGTACCAACACAACCTGACTGGGATCTTAGAAACGGCTGTCAGAGCCACCAACGCCCAGTTTGACAACGCAGAGATCCTCAAGAGGCTTGATGTTCGCCTGCTGGAGGTAATGGGTGTATGTGTGTTTGTTTGTTTGTGTGTGTGGGAGGGCGCTGTCCTTACCTTACCGTGTCATTTATTGGCTCCAGGTGTCTCCTGGTGACACAGGCTGGGACGTTTTCAGTCTGGACTACCATGTTGATGGACCCATTGCTACGGTAACACACACACACACACTCCTCTCATACACTCTCATACAGTTCCACATTGCAACATATTGCAACATATTGCGCATATTCTTATCTCTGCAGAACTGCTGTGTGTATGTGGAAATCGTCAGTGTTCATGTATTGCGATTGAGTGCTATCTGTGTGTGTGTGTGTGTGTGTGTGTGTTTGTTTGTGTGTGCGCGCGTGTGCGTGCGCGCCTCAGGTGTTCACGAGGGAATGTATGGGCCACTACCTGCGTGTGTTCAATTTCCTGTGGAGGGCCAAGAGGATGGAGTACACACTGACTGACATCTGGAAGGGACAGATGTGTAATGCCAAGCTGCTCAAAACCATGCCTGGTACACAAACCCTGCATTATCCTATTTTTGGTCTCCATGCACTTTGTCATATACATATGCTGTAATAATCTGTCCTAACATACAGTAAATGGCAGGTTAAGATCAGGTGTGCTCCCCCTAAAATAATACAATTTAAATCAGGCATTAACACTTGTTAAATAGATTTTTATGGATGTTCAGATGTTGTTGTTTTGTTTTTTTGAATGAGTCTGCAGCTTGTAGAGATGTCACCCTGGCGTTGTGCTTCTCTCCCTCCAGAGCTGTCCGGCGTGCTGCACCAGTGTCACATCCTGGCCTCTGAGATGGTCCACTTCATCCACCAGATGCAGTACTACATCACCTTCGAGGTCAGACCATTAAGCAGCGCTGCAACCATCGTAAAGGCCATATAGCCGTCCGTGAAAAGCAGCAATTACAGCAGGAGGTGATCGGCTGTGTCTGTTAAATGCAACACAGCGAGATTCAGATTTACAGCATCCTTTTGAAGTCGGTTAGAAGGTTGCTGGTTCAAGTCCAGACCGATTGCCAAACAACTGAGTGCATGAGCTGCTGACACTGTACTCAAAGTCAGACCAATGATGTTGTCAGGCTGAAAATCAATGAGTGAAAGTAATGTAAAGATTTGTCTGCTCAGACATTGATAAAATAAGTGTAAGAATAATAATAAGAAAAACATATTGACTGCGGTCAGGGAGGCGCCACCATTACTTCAAATGTGGACGACACTGACCGTATGATATCTGATTTTTGTTTAATGTCATTCCCAGTCACTTTTGGTAAGGTGTGTGTGTGTGTCTTTGTGTGTGTGCTCAGGTGTTGGAGTGCTCCTGGGACGAGCTGTGGAACAAAGTGCAGCAGGCTCAGGACCTCGACCACATCATCGCCGCCCATGACGTCTTCCTGGACACCATCATCTCCAGATGCCTGCTGGACAATAACAGCAGGGTAACACACAAACACACACACACAATAATCTAATGGAAGAAAGAAGATTACGTTCGTGATTTTTTTACCCTTGTTTTCCTTCCTTGAATTCTCTTTCAGTCTCTTTTGAACCAGCTGAGGGCCATATTTGATCAGATCATAGAGTTTCAGAGTGCCCAGGACTCCCTCTACCGCTCTGCATTGGAGGAGCTCACCCTCAGACTGCAGTATGAGGAGAAGAAGCAGCAGAGAGAAGAGGAGGTGAGAAACGGAGGAGGAATTGAGGTTTCTGGGCCACTGATGAGCTACAGTAAAGAGAGAAAAAGAGTGGGAACATAATAGCACTGAAAGGTGTGATATTTTTACCCAACCCGTGTCTTCTCCTGCTGATTCAGGGTCAGTGGGGAGTGACGGCCGAACAAGAAGCAGAGGAGAAGAAGAGGATTCAGGAGTTCCAGGAAACCATACCAAAGATGCGCTCCCAGCTGCGCATTCTCACCCACTTCTACCAGGTACCAGCCCGAGCCACCTCCAGGAGCAGCTGTCAGGCAGTTGCATTTGATGCACGTGTAAGTGCAACCAGCTGTCATAATATCTTCTCCTTTTCTTTTGTTTCTGTCCCTTCCCCTTCTCTCAGAGCATCGTCCAGCAGTTCCTGGTGCTGCTCATGACCAGTCCAGATGAGAGTCTGCGTTTCCTCAGCTTCAGACTGGACTTCAATGAACACTACAGGTACATGGCACAAAAAATCCTGAACAGCTTTTCCACTTGCCCAAATCTAACACGTCATGATGAACATAAGTGCATGTGAGTTTAGTTTGGGGCTTCAGCATCACACGTTCAAACAGTTTCTGATTTGAACAAATTTCCAGAGGAAGGACGAGTCAGGACTACACTGTGACTTCATGACCTTGATTAGGAATTCAGTTGTTTACTCTGTGTCTCTCACTGTTCTTGCACTTTCAAGAGCCGGTCCATCAGCTGTTAACCACATTTCTTATTGTTAATACATTGTAAATGTCAGTGTGAAATTCTGTAGGAAAGCAGTCTTTGAGAGCTTACACAATTATTATGCCCTGCACAGGGCCAGAGAGCCGAGGCTGCGAGCTTCACTAGGCGCCACCAGAGGGCGACGACCGTCAAATATCTGACATGAAGACAATGGCATTGACGAGCAACACTTCCAGTCATTGGAGCGTGGGGTATGACATCACAGAGATGGGCCGACCAGCATACTTTTAAGCGCTTCATTGTCGAGATGATGTCATGCCTTGGAGGAGCGATCCAGCGGTGTTCTGAATATTCTGGCAACGGCGGCGGCGGTCACCAAGTGATGACATCACAGCAGAGGGCTCCAGTGAAGTCAGCTGAGTGCGATCAGAAACGAATAAAGTCCAGTAAATCAAACTTGTAAGAGGTCGTTGTGGCGACGCAGAGTAAACACCCTAAAAACAGACGCTCGGCGGGAATTCTGCAAAATGTCGAGTCAATTTGTGAAAAACTGTCCGGCTGAGTGTGGCGGAAACAAAAAGCTGCTGTCAGACAGACTGAGCTCCCCGACTCACACAGGGCCACCTTTCATGGCATGCCTTATTAATGAGGAGAAACAAAACCGTCTCTCTCAGCGTGGTTGCCAAATCTAGTCCCAACACACATAATGTATGTACATAGAGTTTATGCAAAAATGTATGTATGTGTGTATATATGCACTTGTCTGTTCACGTCAACACCCGCGGCTTTGCATCCTCTCACTAGGGTTCGACGGATATGCGTCCGATATTGATATCTTTTTCAATTTTGTATTTGTAGCAGTTATTAAAATGATTAATTGGGATCATTTATTACTGCAATTATTCCACAGGAGACAGTGTTTCTGCTGGAGTTTTCTCCTCAAAGCATGAGGCACTGACACTGTGTGGACAGGCAGGAACCTTCAGCATATTGAATATTTAATATTTATGGTCAATATTGGCACACCGCTATATCAGTCTAACCCTAGCTCTCCACTCTCCTCCTTAAAATCCAGGGTTTTTATTACGTCAGGTCAGCTGTGCACTCATAAACATACACAACACACACGAAGACAGACCTGGCTCATGCAGACAAAAAGCTCCTTTGTTTACACCCTGTATTAATACCTGTGTTTTTTTTTGTTTTTTTTTTTAACCAGATAGTTTTGTGTTTATCATTAAATTTATAAGACATAGGAAACAAAGTATCTGGCGTCTGACCAGCGACCGATATGAAGAATGTTATTAAGGGTTTACTATGTATTTAAGTGTTCTGCCTCCATTTCCCTGCTTAGTGTACAGTGTGTGCTTTTATGTCTGTGTGAGAGATGGATCATGTCAAAAGAAAACAATCCTCGCAACAACCACAACAACCTCACTTCTTGTCACCGCATAAACAATACGAACCATAGATGTTGGAATATTTCAGTTCCTTTAAATATTGTAAATATTTCTAAATCAGAAAGAGTTTAATGGTTATAAATGTTAACTCGGACAGTTTATTTTCGGAAACGAGTCTAGTCCCACATTATAGATAAGAAAAACAAGAGTGTTTGTTAGTGTTATAGAGTGAGGTTGGCTTCATGTGCATATGAGATGAAGACACTGACAGTATTATACCAGAGCATAGTTGCTGTTGATCAGCCTCCAAATTGTAGTTTAGTTAAACTGGAATCACTCGCTCATTTTGTAAGTTAAAGACCATCAAAACCCTTTGGATTTGATCATATTTTTTTAAAATGTTAAACAGATGAGGAGAAGCAGTCGTTATGGTAGTTGCAGTTCTTCAACCACAGGCTGAAAAATTAAATCAGACCCAAACCCAAAAATATGTGTCCAAGCTTTCATCAGCTTTTACGCCTATTAAACAAATCCACACTTACAATCAACCCTTGTTATGACCCAAAACTGAAGAGTGAGGTGAAAATTCTACCTTTGCTTCTGCTCAAAAATCTTTATTGCTGTGGTAGGACACGACCATTTGCTGGATTTCCTTTTGTAGTTCATATTCAAATGCTTTTCGCTGTAGAAAATGGCAAAACTTGTTTGTTGAGATTGAAAAGCCAAGTAGCATTTTAATCAAGGTATACAATCATTTCCATATGAACAGCTGTGAGCGCTGATCTCACCTTGTAGGAGCTCTGATCCTGGGTCAGGGAGCAGATGTTTCTAAAAGTAAAAAAAAAAAACTGCATATGCATTTTAAAGGATATGGTTAACTTACTAACAAACTTGCATCAAAATGTAATTTAAGACTTTTGTATGCCTCCTCGCAATGTTTCAATCTGTCCCTACACTTAACTATACGATAATTCAGAAGTAGTTACTAAACTTTTGTTAGTTTGTTTGAGTTATAAGTTGAGTTTGGCGTTTCATGGGGAAATGTTTACTCCTGCAGATTAATAACTTCAACTATATTTCAGGTTTTGGGGAAATCTTTTCACACTGCAGCATATACACAGATGTCCTCCAACATCAGGCCTGGACTCACTCTGTGTGTGTGTGTGTGTGTGTGTGTGTGTGTTGTGCAGAGAAGCGTCTGATCTGTATTTTTATCATTAGTGGAACAAATCGGTGCTGCATATGGTCACTAGACCAGTTAACTGCTTTCTGACAATGACTTTCCTTCATACACATAATTCTGAGTGAAGCAAAACACCACTTTAACACCAAACTGAACCGGGGTCAGCACTCCTGCACTGTCCGTCTGTCCTCTGCATTGTATAGCACATAATGTATAGAATATAGGGAAACAAACCATCCCGCTTCTTCTTTAATAAAGTTTTTTTGTTTTGTTTTTTTAAATGAATGTGTCTTCTTGTTTGTGTTTGACTTTTTACTTGAAGCAGTATCGGTGGTTCTGTGCAGCTTTGCCTCTGGGTTGATTTGAATTTGCTTTGACTTACTTCCACCCTCAGGCAATAAGTAAAAGATGATAAAAAAAAAAGAAAAGATAAAGATTATTTCAAGGTAATCTCTCCAGAAGAATCTCTAATGAATGTTAGTAGTTGGACACTTATTTTACTATAGATCCTCTTTCCCTTATCTGACTTGGAAAAGATTTTCTCAAAACCTATTAATACTTAAGTAATTACTAAATTAATTGTTTGAATATCCAGGCCTCCAATCCATAGAGAGGGTCTAGCCCCCATTTCCCATAATGCAATCACTAGCCTCTTTTGAGTAGACATCCCCTGCTTTGTAAACACATAAATCAATATCAATAGGCCTTAAAAGATCAAATTAAAGTGATTCATATGCAAATAAACACCATTAGCAATTATGTCTGTAATCTTGTAGGATTTAGAAATAGTTTATTATTTTGGAACCACATGGTTGTAATGTAGCTGAACATCATTAAGAAAGTATTATGTAATTGCCATTTCCTGAAAAGTATGAACAATTGAATTAAGATAAAATATTCTTATTCAGTATATTGCTTTCAAAATATATTTGACTATTTGAGTTTAATACAAAGGATAAAGACTCAGAACAGTTCTATTTGCATTTTAAGCAAAGAAAAAACAACATTTTCATTCATGTTTTGCTACAAATGTGATCAGCGTTAAATAAATGAATATAACAAAGTGGATTTTACAGTCACACCCACTCATTTTTTGCTATTACATTCTGACCTATGCAAGAAATGAACCACTAGAGGGAGTAATAGCTTCTCTTTTCCATTGTCTGTCCCCTTCACCTTCAGACTTTGTCTCCTCATCCTGGCTTTAGATTCTTTGCTGTGTAGGACCTGCAATCAAAAATTACCATGACACAGTTTTTTTCTGTGATGGCACTAAGTTATTTAACAATCCCGTAGAGCTTCTGTAGTTCAGGTGTTTTCACGGATGAAAACTTGTCGGATGCTTGAAAAGAAGATGTTAACACAGATCAGTCGGTGTTACGGAGGCAGGGAGGAGAGGGAAGTGTGAAAGGCGTGTTACACACATACAGTTCCAGCGTGGCCTATTTTTCCTAGAGAAATGAGTTCTGTCTGCTTTCATTTCTGTCTCAGAAACCAATTCTCTCAGCAATTCACTCATTCAGTCGTTTGATTTTCTCCAGTTTGTGGATATGTGTGTGTTGTGTTTGTGTGCACCCGTGTAAATACCTGTTTATTTGTCCAGAGAGCCATCCCTTTAGGCCTATATATATATATATATAACAGCTTCTTATTTTTGTGGATAACACACCAGAGAGACAGTCCTGACTGCTGAGCTGGAACCGACACACTGCCTGCATTTTTTTCTTCCTTTCTTCTCTCTCTCTTCCGGCCTTTCCATGTGTCTCTTTGTGTTACATCTAAGTGTATATGTATAGAGGTGTTTGTCAGTGTGACATCGAACTGGTATCTGATCGCTGGAGACATTTCTCCCAGTATTCCCAACGCCCCTCATGTCATTTTTTTTCTCAACAGAAATAGCTTTGCACTGCTGACCTTTATATTGAGCAAGACCTTCCTGACAAACTGACCTGGTATCAGTTCATTCTGCATGTGTCAGAGAGTCTCTGACAGCCTTGGATATGTTGGCTTACTGCCAATGCAGGCTCTTCCAGCAGCAAAGTAAGTAAGTAAGTTTAAGTATTAAGAACCACTCTGTATTACTGTTAAAATAGTCAAATTAAAATACTAATTTAAATAGATACACCACAACCTGTCTAAATAAGCTGACCAAAGTTATGGGCCTCCATCAAACCACATAGAACCTCTGTAACATTTGATAAAATGTAAATGATTTTGTGTGTGTGTGTGTGTCCTGTGTGTCAGTGCCCTGGTGCAGTGAACCTCCACTAATACCTGAGAAAGAGATCCAGCTGCCCCTAACAGCCACATCTGCACTTTCACCAGCCTCAGGGCTCGTGGTCACAGAGGTGAAAACCAGGACACTGAGGTCATGTGTTTGGTATTTTCTCTGGAAAAGTCGGGGTTTTAGCAACCTCAGGAGAATTTACATTTTACAGTTGAAATGTTTCACATGTTTAAGGGTAATTTTAGATCCGGTATATTTAAATGTAATCTGTTTTAGGCTGATACAATAATGAAATAAATAAATAGGCTCACTAATTGGACCAAAGGTCTGGGTGTGTGTGGGCAGGTAAATGAACCAATCACATTTTGATTTATAGTGGGTGGGACTAACAATCATTGTGCTAGGCCAGAAGCATGGCTCTGCTTGAGGCCTCCCCAAAGACTCAAGACCAAACTGGCTTTCACTCTTTTCTGTTGAGGATTTGAATCTAGCAGATCAGGACTTCAGTCAGTCAGTCAGCAGTCACAGCACAGATGGCAAAGTGATCGGAGAAAACCAAGTATATCAAAAGACCCCCCAGCCAGAACATGAAAAATTGGCTTTCATGTTGAAAGAAGTGAAGTAGAAGAAGAAGAAGCTGCCTGCTGGTCTGTAATGGACAATATTCATAACTTTGAACTTGAAAAACCCCTTTCATTCTTTTGATTGATGGAGGCTTGAAGACAAAAGGAACATAAATAACCAAGGAAAAGAGAGACTTCATGAGAAAAAAACAGACTTCATCGGACTTCATGAGGAAAAAACAGACTTCATCGGACTTCACGAGGAAAAGACAGACTTCATCGGACTTCACATAGGCACAGTTGGTACTATTTGTGCGTCAAACTGTTTATTTATTTATTTATTTATTGTTTCCTTTGGTTAGAGCCAGGGTAGCTATTTCCCCCGCTTTCTGTTTATATGCTAAGCTAAGGCAGTCGGCTGTAGCTTCATATCTACTGTAAAGAGTGGTATCAGTCCCCTTAAGTGTAACACAAAATATGAAACTATCCCTCAGGAGTTATCATATTAATAAGAAGCTTCATTAACTTGTTAAGTGAAAACAGGACAGCCGGTTAAATGTGGAGACTAGTTTTCAGAAGCAGCAGCAGCAGACTTTATTCAACTCTGTTTGACCCACAGTAACAAGGCAACAAGATCAACTGTCATATCCCATCATGCATTAGTCATGCTGCGAATGCACGAGTGCGAGCTGGAAGAAGAATAGTGTGCCATCCTTTCTGTCCTAGCAATGTTCCCCAGTTATATTCTTTGTAAATGTCATTAAGGAAAGCTGCTTCGTTTCCGTGCGACTGACTCGAGCCCTCGTCTCCTTTTGTACGACCTTCCAACAGTGTTTTAAGGTGAGACGGAGAACAAAAACAAAAAGAAAAAACTGTGCGTGCGTGTTGTCAACCAGGAACAGACAGCTGACATTTAATGGCATTTTCTGGCAGCAGGTGTATTTGAGAGAATCTTATCAAAAGGAGGATTTCTTGTTCCTTCTTTCCATCCCTCTTGTCTCGGTGTTGACTGCCAGCTGGACCCACAGTTTTGACTACAATGCAGAAAGCACAAGTTCATACAGACGCTCTTCAACATGCACACAACACAACGGACCTGATACAACTTCTGATTACTCCTCCTTGAAGGCCGCCATTTGAAAACTTTTGCATTGTGCTCGAGACGTGCGGCTCCTTTGTTCTCGGTTCCCTTTAACAAGAGTCTTGAGGATAAGATGTGCTGCATTAATTGGACATTTGCATTTGTGGGATTTTAATGAGCCTAATTAGGCCAGCAGATTGTATTTAAGTCGGATAGTTTAGCCCAGATACGGAGCAAGGTGTGAAAACTACTCTCGTCTGTGAATATAGTAATTGTCTCCTCAGCCAGGCCAAAACGTTCACCTTTTGAAGTGCTTTCCCAGGTTAGAGTTTCATTTATTGTGTCCATCCAATTAGTTATGAGATGAGCCGAGGCGCTGGGAGCAGTTTTTCTTGTCGGTCTTCCTCTGATTATCCTGTTTTGTCTTCCAAAATGAGAGCAGATGAAACATGTTGTCCATGTATCACTAAATCTCACACTCTGGAGGGCCTAGCAGTTCAAGGTGCTGACCCTGAGCTGCAAAGGGACTAGGGTCAGATTTGGATATGTGTTCTGTAAGAGGAGGGTGAAATATGATCAGAAATAATAAGTTCAGATAATTGTCATGTCAGGTGCAACTTATTTGGTTTGTAATATGTCGATTTCTTGAATGTGAGCATGTCTTTATACTTTAGATTTGTACTTGCGCTGCTTCTTGGACATGTTGATGATATATTGATGATGGAAAAAGGTCTTTATTAGAAATGAACGGCTTCTCTGTGGACTCTATTTTTATCTTCAGGTTGATTGCTTTGAGAAGTGAGAGACACTTTTGATAAGTGATAATTATGTACTGTCCTAGACACTATAAATGTCGGCCAGATGTCTGATGGATGTTCTCCTTGCGTGGCAGTGTATCTTTAAAACTTAAACTGTAAAATTGTATGAGAGTTACTGTATGCAGTTTGTGAACTGAAAGAAAAGATTATATGGTGAATAGAATATGTAACCAGGCCACTAACCTTAAGACATAGATAGCACCCAGGATCTGAGTGATTTCATCTCAGTAAGCTCAACTCTTGCAGTTGTTGACAACTGAAACTATTAAGAATGACATTGACATTTTAGAGAACAGACACTGAAAGACAAAACATGAAAGGATGACTCGAGAGAAAACGGGGAAACAGAGTGGGGGGGGGGAGCTCAACAGACACAACTCGCAACGAGAGGGTCAGGTCTTAAAGAAGTCCTTCGCCGGCACGTCCCGATCTCCCCATCCTTCAGTCTCGTCTCAGCCGCTTCCCGCCTTCAAAAACGTGGGCAGGTGAGCTCACTTCAGCTCGTCTGGATTTCTTGATGTTGCAGCAGGGTTACTTCTTTCTTTCC